ATTTCAACACCAGCTGGGAGCTACCCAGCAATTAGGTAAAAAATGATGGCAATAAAGACTGTGAACATGGTCAGGGCAATGATACAGCCCTGTTTGACTTCTGTTTCTACTTTGAAAGGTTCACTCTGGGAGCCAGTGCTGCCCAGAACTGTCGCTTTCATGTTGTCATTAAGCAACTTTAAGACCTCTTTGAAAGTATAGTCCAAAGGGCATGGCGAGTCACTGAGTCAGTCTTTAGATCAATAAAAGCCATGTACAGTGGTCAATTTTGCTCCCAATATTTTTATTGCAGCTGCTCTGCAATGAAGATCATAACCACAGTTCCGTGACATTGTCGGAAGCCACTCTGGTAAAATTTCTTCTTATGGGCAGAAGACTAGTTACAAGACCCATGCCAGAACTTTGCCTGCAACAGCAAGGAGAGAAATATTGTGATAGTTTCCACTGTCTGCTTTATCCTCTTTCTTAAAGGGGGTAACAATCAAGGCATCCCTCATTTTACTGGGTATCACCTCCTTTAACTGGATTTTAAGGGATAGACAGGCTAAGCTGCAGAATTAATTCTGGTCCACCATCTTTAAAGATTTTAGAGGGGATCCCATTTGTACCTGCTGCCTTGTTGTTCTTCATCTGCTTGATTGCATTGTATACCTCATGCAAATTGGGAGGGTCTCCGAGTTCATCCCTTGAAGTTTGTTGCAGGATTTGCTCAACAACTTTCATCTGCAACCATGGAGTTACGATTAAGAAAATCTTTAAAATGTTCTTTCCAGTGAAAATTAGTGGCTTCATTGTCCTTCAGAAGTGTGGTTCCATCCTTCCTTAGAGTGAGAGGGGTTCGTGTCGTGACTAGCTGGCCCATAAACAGCCTTAATCAGAGAATCCTATAATCACAGAATACCAGAATTGAAAGGAGCCTTGAGAGGTCATCAAGTCCAGTCTCCTGCCCTTATGGCAGGATCAAGCACCACCTTGATCATCCCTGATAGATGTCTATCCAACCTGCTCTTCAGTATCTCCAGTGATGGAGATTCTACAACCTCCGTAGGCAATTTATTCCCATGTTTAATCACCCTGACAGGGAGGAGTTTTTCCTAATGTACACCCTAAACTTCTCTTACTACAAATTAAACCCATTGCCTCTTGTCCTATTATCAGAAGCCAATGAGAACCGTTTTTCTCCCTTCTCCTTGTTAACCCCCTTTTAGATACTTGAAAACTGTGATCATACCATAATGGCACTAAAGAAACCACGTGTATTATGGGTGTCCATGAAATGTTCTATTTCTTACTAGAGTCTTGAGTTCTCTAGTTTTACATTGGACTTCTACCTTTGCCTTAGCATGAGCTTCTCTCTTTGTCTTGCAATTTATATCCTTCTGGCAAACACAAAATGCCATTCTCTTCTCAGTAATGAGTTGCTCAATTTCAACATCATTCTCATCAAAATAGTCCTGATGCTTTTTGGTTTGGTAGCCTATGTTTCCTCACAGGTATTGCTGATTACTGCTTTCAGCTGGCTCCAGTGTTCCTCAATTTCTTCCAGAAACTCTAATGGAAGCTTTTCTTCTAAGACTGCTTGGGCCAAAATAAATTTGAGGAGGTTCAACAAGGGCAAGTGTAGAGTCCTGCTTTTGGGACGGAAGAATCCCAAGCATTGTTATAGGCTGGAGACCCAATGGCTAAGTAGCAGTTCGGCAGAAAAGGACCCGGGGATTACAGTGGATGGGAAGCCGGATCTGAGTCACAGTGTGCCCTTGCAGCCAAGAAAGCAAATGGAATATTAGGTTGCATTAGGAGGAGCATTGCCAGCAGAACTAGAGAAGTGATTATTCCCCTTTATTCAGCTCTGGTGAGCCATCTGGAGTATTGCATCCAGTTCTGGGCCCCCACTATAGAAAGGATGTGAACTTATTGGAGAGGGTCCAGTGGAGGGCAACCAATATGATTAGGGGGCTGGAGCACATGACCTATGAGGAGAGGCTGAGGGGTTTGGGCTTATTTAGTCTTCAGAAGAGAAAAGTAAGGGGTGATTTGATAGCAGCCTTCAACTTCCTAAAGGGAAGTTCCAAAGAGGATGGAGAGAGGCTGTTCTCAATAATGACAGATGGCAGAACAAGGAGCAATGGTCTCAACTTACAGTGGAGAAGGTCTAGGTTGGATATTAGGAAAAACTATGAGGGTGGTGAAGTACCGAAATGAGTTACCTAGGGAGGTGGTGGAATCTCCATCTCTAGAGGTTTTTAAGTCTCGGCTTGACAAAGCCCTGCCTGGGTTGATTTAATTGGGATTGGTCCTGCTTTGGGGAGGGGGCTGGACTTCATGACCTCATGAGATCTCTTCCAGCCCTATGATTCTAATTGGTCACACTTAATGGCATCCTTCAGATCTTGAACCTTCAGCTTGTGCCTGATCTGCTTCTTTTTTCAGCCTCCATTTGGGAGTGATCTTTATTTTCACTGTGGATTGAATGAGGAGATGATCGGCACTTGTCATTTCTCTTGTGAGAAGTATGTCATTGCAATCTTGAGCATGAACTATGACATAGTCAAGAAGGTGCCTTTGAACGTGGGTGTCTCCCAAGATGTTTTGAACTTGAACACCCTTTTTCAACAAAAGGACATGATGATAAGCACTTGGTCAGGAGCAGGATTCCATTTGAGTTGCTTTTGCCAACTCCTTCTTTTCCAGTTGTTCCTTTCCACAGGTCTGAGTCCTGTCCAGCTCGTACATTGAAATCCCCCAGAAGAATGATCTTATCTTCTTTAGGGGTCTCTGATAAAATGGTTTCCAACTGAGAATAGAAATCTTCCTTTACGTCCTCATCGGCATCCATTGTTGGCGTGCAGGCACTCACAATAGTTATCTATGGGAGTTCTTATTATCATGCAACTGATAGTAAAAGGCATTATAGTGTGAACATTCCTCAAAGTGTAAGTAAGTGTGTGTGTGTGTGTGTGTGTGTGTGTGTGTGTGTGTGGTGTCTTATCTGGAATTGAGTATTTATAGGAAGAGAATGTGTTACGTGAAGAAAAGGTGACAAAAGGGTCATATTGTTTGTAAGTGGCATAAAAATGGTTCTAAACCATGGGGCAAGTGCCTCCTGGTGCCCTTGAGAGACTATAAAGCTACTTCTGTTGCATATTTTAGCGTTAAAAAGGCAGTTTAAGAATGCATGCCCCATATGATGTAATGATGCACTCAGTGCTGAACAAGTTAAATGTAACAGATAGAATCTTTCTCCCACTCTCTCATTATGTATTCTGTAGCAAGCAGATTTACCACTTGCTATTGTTTTTTTTCTTTTCTTTTGGATCCATGTAACAATGTAATACCTTTGTTATTAGATAACAAAACTATTAGCTAACTAGCAGAGCAATCATGTAAAACTTCTTGGACAGTAAATCACATAACCTTGTGTCCCATTATGTTGTGTTTTGCAACCTGTAGCCCTTGGCATGCAAGTAAGTAGGCATGTACTTAACTTTTAAGCATGGGAGTAGTCCCACAGAAATCAACAGATCTACTCTTGTGCTTAAACATGTCCATTAAATATTTGCAAAACTGAAGCCTGAATATGTAATGTGATGTGTATGAATGAACCTATAAATTTGCACAATTATTAATGCAAAAACAGACACGATCACATGTTCACACTGAAACTCACCCTGCGCTCCTTCATAGAATGTTATGAACATTTTAAAACTGTGGTGTCCAACACGCTAGCCGCTAGCCACCTGTGGCTGTTTGGCCTCTTGAATGTGGCTAGTTGGCTTGAACAATGTGCCTATTTGGCCAGTTGAGTGGTTAGTTCATTATAGCAGTAGCCACTGCTTCAGAACTGGTTGGACACCATGGTTTTTAAAAGCTATAATATTTATGCACAGTGTTTATTAACAGAATATCAGATTAATAGCTGTAATGGGTACATGTTACTTAACAGCAAACATATATAAAAGCAATATGTTAAATGGCAGCAAAGGAATTAGGCATGCTTAAAGTGGAGCTCTCTTGTGGAGAATAGCTCTCTCATGTCAGCTGTGCTGCTATCCTGACAATGTTATGGTTTTGGTTTTTAATTCATTTTACTCCTACATCAAGAATACAGCTATGAAAGTCCATTCTTTTTTATGCATCACAGAATTGTTAACTGAAGAGTTCATTTAGTCCTTGGTAAATCACGTCCCTTCATGAAGCAGAGCTTGTATCTGGAGTGGGAGAGAGGACAAGAAGGGGGGAATACATGTCTCCCATCCTTCCCTCTTCCTGTGGAGACTTCATAGGGTTCCAACTTTGTGCTGGCAAGAGAACAGTGTTGAGGGGCAAACTGAGCTCCATCAAGCTCTCTTCTCCTTCCTCCTAAGCTATGAAGGAAAGTACACTTGATTGGTATGGTCTGAGACGGTATGGACATAGACCGTTCCCCCACTCCTCCTCAGATTATATAAAACTTCTTCCCCCCTTCTTTTTACTGCTTCCCATGGTCCAGCACACTATATAGGACCATGTTTTCAGTGGCTGTAGTTGAACAGGCAGGAGCATGGCACAGCAGAGGTCCCCTTGTCTCCTGTGGAACCCCCAACTTCTTGCAGAGGAGTGAGGTAGTGACAGTCACACTCTTCTGATGTAAGAACAAGTAGGGAAGCCTGAATTTTCCCTAGCTTGGAATAATAAGTGTAAGGGCAGCTGGGACCCCAATTCTCATTGTCCTAGGAGCCATTGAGAGACTGCAAAGGGGAGCCCCCATCATGCCTTTTCAGAGTCAAAGATGATTTCAACAGTTCACATCTGAGCTTTTAAAAAATGAGTTTCCAGAGTGTTTAAAAACAAAACCCAGCCAAGCCTCTGAACTTGTGTGGCAGTACGAAAACAAATGAGCTTGGCTCCTTGCGTTTGCTTTTTAGAAATATATATAGGGTGACTGACAAACTGTCGCAGGCTATAATTCCTGTCAGTTAACGGGTGCCTTCAACATTTCATTTGTAATTGTCTGTTTGCAGAGGAAGAAGAAGAGAGTGCTCCTCCAAAGACTGCCGAGCCAAAGAAGCTGAGCCCAGTAACCACTAGCAATGTTTTGGGTAATTAAAATATTTTCTTTGTTCTACAAATACTATTTTACTTTACTTTACTTTTTCTGGTCTTTGCCTTTTGCCATTGTAAATAATGTTTTCACAACTCCAAAAAGTTAGCTGTTTAATCTGGGTTTCTTATGGCAGTAAAACTGCATAGAATCATTTAGGATGCATGAAAACCACTTGAGAAGGATTTATAAAGTAAGCCAATTTATACAAGGTATTCCTTCCTGAATTACTTTGTAATGACTCAATTAGCTTTCATTTCTGCACAAAGGAGATTTAGTTGCATAAATTAGCTTATCATCATTGAGGAAGTGTCACTGCTAAAGGACAGTTTATAGATACAACATGCAGTTGCTGTCAAACCTATAAGAATATAATATAGACATCTGTGTATACTTTGTGCTTGAGCAGAACAGACTTCTGCCATTCAGAGACTAACAGGGGACAACAAGTTGCCCAGGGGACTGGCAATGTAGACATCTCTGAAAAGGTCAACTTGACACAGGCTCTGACAATCGACCCAGAGCTCTGTCTTCTTTGATAAAAATCAGATAAACTTAAGACCGCTAATTGATCTGCAGCCTGTTTAAATGTTGGCCATGCATATCTTCATTGCATATGATTATCACAGCAAGCAAATGAATTGGGTAAGAAATGCCAGAGTCCAGTGACAGCAACAGAAAAAAAAAATTGGAAAAGGACACAAATGCTCAGGAAGGCTAAGAAGGGTATTGTCACTGTCTCAGCTTGGCAAATTGCCCTTGTGCTAATTGTCATTGGGACTGGGAAAAATAACTGCATATACTATGTAAAGTCACATGAGGGGACAACTTTTCTTGAGTGCAAGACATTTCTAGCTAAGGTAAAAACAAGATATATCTCTGCCTTGGGGGCATGGTCCTTTTGATAACCTATCACTTATTTGCCCAGAAAGTAGGGAAAACCTGATAAGAAGCAAGACTTTACACCTCTTCACAGCTAAATGTCAGCCAATGTCAGATGTGCTATGTCGTAACTGGGTCCTGCAGTGTAATGCAATCTGGGGTCGCCTTCCTCCATCATACAGACTGCACATCACTCTTCCAGTGCTGTCAGGGAATGGGTGGATAAGGAGTGTGTGTTCAGGAAGTAGCTTTGCTGTACTCTTCCTTTTGCAACATATGGAGAGGAAACAGGGGCCTGATTTCCTGACCCATACAGGAAAGCAGGAACAGGTTGCAGTAAAAGGTTTTGGTTTGCTTTTCTTGGAAAGGAAATGAGCACTGGGTCATCAGATGTTGTTAGCATCACGATCTAGTAAAAACCACACATAAAACAACACGACTCAATGAAACCATAGCATTAGCAGTCATTTAGACATGCCAATAATTACAATACTGGATTGGGTCAATCCAATTATGAAGGGAGTAACAGATGTTTGTTGTTCTCATGAATCTTTCAGCTCAAGGAAACTTTACTTTGATAACATCCTCTATTATAACTTAAATTTTATCCCTTTAGTTTAGGAACACAGCAGACCTCTTATATGAGAACTCTAAAAATGTAACAAGGGTTCAATATCATTAAAATAAAGCACTATAATAATTCTCCCCAGACATTAAATTAGTTTCAAGTAATTGTTTTAACACTTGAGCAGAGCAGGACCTCTGTTCTTCCCTAAACAAGTAAATATATGACATAAGAATTTTGTTTGCCATGTAGGGCAGCAAGTTGACAAGGGGATTTCTAGCTTGCTAGGCACCCCATCCCATGAACTTTTAACTTATTCAGGAATGTTTGATGTTTTCTCAATTAATAATACACATAGCCTCAAACACTGGGAACAAAAAATACTTTCCTTTCCAGCTGTCACTCATCTTCAGCACATAATTATTTTTTTCTTTAATTATCTGTTGTACTGAATAACTGTGTTTTTGGAGAGATGCTAGGATACTTCTCCTTCTGAACTTTTCCAGAACTAAACCATTCCATCTGTAACTGAACATAAATTATCTTCTATCAGGCTAGAATTTTTCTAGGAAATTTGAAGCAACTCAGATAAAGCATTCTGGAGAGAGGAGGGCAAAACATTGAGAATCTCATCTTGAAAGCTTTTGTGGCATTTTTGTCTTATCCTAACTCTTTGTCAATTTGTCTACAAACTCCCAATTTGTATCTGCTCACTTTGGTGAAGACTGGTGCCTATAATTAGCAAAACCAATTTTCACCTCCATTATATTATTAGTTTAAGTTTCTGAAACCATGTGTTGCCTGGATGTAGCTAGCTATGATTGTGGAGTGGTAAGGACCAGGAGAAGTGACAGAAAGAGAATTCTGTCTGATATTGAATTGAGAAGAGGGCGCTGAAAGGACAGAACTGTGGTACAGAAAATGCAGGGGCAGGGGAGATATAGAAAAGAAGCTGGATCCATCTAGTGTTTGACATCTGCTCCCCAAATAAATCCAGTAACATTATTTTACCATGATTCTTTTTTATGTAATAATTCTCTCCCTGATGTGGAGAGAGACAGGGCTCAGGAAAAAGGAAGCACACATACAGGACTCAGCACAACTGAAAACCGTGAGATGGTTTGTGTCCTTAAACAACACCTACCGTCAAAGCAGAGAGGCTGAAAACAGAGAGACTCTTGTTAAGACTTACTGTATTATTTATTCTGAACTTCACATCATCACTATAGCTGACTACAATACGCATGGGATTTCTAAACACTATACACAGTTGTTCCCAAAAGGGTAGAATTTTTCCGTCTCTTCACCAAAAGAAACCACATTCCAGACCGTAACATAGGATAACTCCCCATGCTGTCCTACCCTAGACATTCATACTAGTTATTCTATTTGGGGCTGTGAACCTCTGAAGAGCCAGATCAAAAATCTAGTAATTTATACAACAGAGTTGCTGGCTGCCTGAGGATCACATCTATATATCAGACATTTATGTACAAAACCATGGCAGTATAAATGAGAGAAAAAAATGCTAGAGGTCCTACTTCCAATAGTGAAACTAGCCAGATAAAGTGGGATTAGCAGATTTAAAATACACAGCTACAGAATCTGCTCACTTTTAAAAGATTTCATCAAAACCTCCTTTACAAGAGGATTAAAAATGTCTTCATCTCATGTAGAGTGGGAGGTCTGTGGAGGTGAACTCAATATTGATGTTCTAGAAATGTGTATTCGTAGTCTGAATGTACTGTATCGTGTTCATAAAGCTTTTTTCCTTAAGAACCAGGTTACATACAATCTTAAATCCAGTTTAAAGAAATTTAAGATTATGTGTGTGTGTGTGTGTGTGTGTGTGTGTGTGTGTGTGTGTAATATGCTGTATTTGCCAAACTTTTGCTCAAGTCAACTCAACTTTTATTTCTTAAGTCACAAACCTAAGGTATAACGTAAGTTCCTCCCTAATTTATCTGAAGGCAGGTCAGAGGTAATCAGTAACATCTGTGCTGAGCCAGAAGTGCTGTTTTGTGGTTGCAGAATGCATTTAAAACAATGGCTTTTTCATGTTTTTTTTTATCTGATACCTTTCATATTAAGACAAAATGAGTAATAATTTGCCAGTAGCTTACAGCATGCAGACAATCCCCAGGTTAATTGCAATAACTACTGTATCTAAAAGATCCCAGAATCTATCTCCAACACAAAGTACTTAAACTCAAACTTGCAATGTATCCTCAAGGCTAGCAAACTTTAGCTGAACCAGCAAGGTCCATCAAATATATCTTGACACAGAGGACAGATAGCATTACACCATAGATGATCACAATTACTTAGAGGAAATTGTTTGCGTGTGGCAGGGGGGCAGGAGTCTCTAAAATGGTCAGGACTCACAACAATGTATAGCTTTTGTTGTTAAAACTAAGCATTAATTTGAGGTGGCAGGGAGGAACAAATTTGTGTAGCATGACAATATGTTGGACATCTAAAATGATGCTCTCGGCATATCTAATACAACTGAGAAAGTGGGCTGCAAAGAATACCTTGGGTGGCCTTCAAGGTCTTCAGTGCTCCAAATAGAAAGCAATGCTGCAGTCCTGTCTAGACGTGAAAGGGACATGGATAACAGTGGTCAGGTGCAGACATGAGAGAATATATTGCAAATCTAGCCAGTGGCAAATTGGAGAGTGAATCAAAACCGCCATACTTTTGTTCACTGCTGTTAACCTTCTTTTGAGACCCAACAGAATCCTGATCGTGGACAGCCTTGACAAAGTATAATTCGTAAGCAAGAGTAAATACATCTTCCAGCAGCTTCCCCTACCCACTAGTACTATCACCTTGTCTGACATGAACTTTATCCACCTATCCTTTATTTATCTCTGAACTCAGAGTGGTAGGTAGACTCCGCTATCTGTATCTGATGAAGAGTTGGGCCACGTCTACACTTGCAAGTTTTGTCGCCAAAAAACCCCTTCTGGCGACAAAACCTGGAGGGCCTTCTCAGTGCAATGTGATAAAAGTCGAGACATACATCTGTTTTTGGTGACAAAAAACTTTCTGCTTCTGTACTTTTATTTTTCCCCCTGCTGTTATTGTTAACAATCATATAATGTGTACTACAGAAGGCTTTGTGTCAAATCTTAGCCTCCAGTGTGTTTCCCACAATGCTCAATTAACCACTCTGGCTAACACTTTGAACTCTGGTGCTCTGTAGACATGGAAACAGATGCACCCCTCCCACCTGAAAACCCCGAGAACTTTAAAAATCCATTTTCTGGAACCTGGGTCATGGTGTATTGGTGGTCCTGGCTCATTGCGTGGTGGTCCTTCTGGCATAGTCTCAGCCAACCAGGGGTGGGTATCACTCAAAATGCTCTCCTGCTTGGAGCACTGCAGAGCTTTTGGATCTTATCAGTGTGTGGCGTGAAGAATCGATGCAGTCACAGCTGCGTGTGACTTGTAGGAACTGGGACACGTATGGCCACGTTTCAAAAGCCCTGTCTCAGAAAGGATAGAAGTAAAACATCCTACAATGCAGAGCCAAGATAAAGGAACTC